AGTGACAGGCCCCATCACCAATAGGCCAAGGCTAGTCTTGTGGGTTGTGTGAGGTGTGAGGAGACTATAATGTTTTCAACCCCTTCAAAAGCATTTTCATTTGACCTCAAGGTAGGAATGCAGATAACTGCTGTCGAAGTTCTAACTGTATTCAGCAAATTATACCATAGTATAGAGCGTCTTACGTGGGTCGATAAGCACCTTCCATTCCAAAATTGTCAGGGCTTCTTAAGGAAATGACTATTGGGATATGGTGCTGAAATAGAAGCTTCAGTATTGCACTTTATTTATTTATTTTGGATACAAGGGCAAGGAACAAGCTTGAAAAATTAACACCTGGAAATCAAACACGCTACTAATCAAACAAGATAAAACCGAGTTATCCTATGTCCAGGGAGGTTCCTGCAGAAGAGTCAGCTCCCATCTCAAATAGTGGGCTTCCTTGGAAAATCTGCACTTTATTTTGAACCTCCTCATTTAGATTCAACTGTGATATATTCAGCTAAGAACCTCCACATTTGTGATTATCTGTATATTTTTATTTTCTGTTGCACGAGTCTGCATCTGAGCTTCCTATGATTTTCCTGAACCTGAAGATGGAACACCAATACGATCCAAATTATATCTATTTTAATCCTTACATTGGGTCTACAATTTTTGTTAAACCTGCTAACCTATCACTGCTTGCCTTTTAACATGGGAGAGCCAACATTTTTATGCTTCTGGATCAGGATTACTATTTACTAACATTGAACAAAAATTTGACAGGGAGTTCCAATGATTTATATGGGCGATGAATATGGACACACAAAAGGGGGCAACAACAATACATATTGTCATGATAACTATGTGATTCTCTGTCCACTAGAAAACTGCAAATTTCGCCATACTTTATTTCTATAGGTTTATTTTCAATTTTTTGGCAGCTTAATTACTTCCGATGGGATAAAAAGGAAGAATCCTCATCAGACTTCTTCAGATTCTGCCGACTTATGACTAAGTTTCGCAAGTAAGGATCTTTTATTTTCATTTCAGACTCTTTTATCTTATGTTCTGACTTTGTGATCCTTCAGGGAATGTGAGTCATTGGGCTTAGAAGACTTCGCTACATCAGAGAGGCTGCAATGGCATGGTCATTTTCCTGGAATGCCTGACTGGTCTGAAACTAGCCGTTTTGTGGCTTTTACCATGGTATGATCCTGTTTTTGCTCATATCCCTTGTAGTTGACAAATCTTTTGCTTCATTATTGCATTGTACTTGTCAAAATAAAAAATTTGAATAAACAGCGTGAGTGAAAATTTTTCTCCCTCCTTTGTGAGGGTCCATCCCTTGGGTTTCCCTTGTGTAGCATTCATCTCTCTCTGTTCATGAGAGTTGTGATCCCACTGCCTCTCTCCAGCATCTGCTGAGAGAGAGGATGTTTGGTTTTGTATGTGTGTTATGGGGGTAGTCGATGTGGGTATCTCTCTGAAGCCAACAGGTTTAATCGTTGACGTTCAGAAGTCTTTAGAGGCGTGGAGCGAAGAAAAGATGGCAAGATGAACAGCTTCTGCTAGGCAATTGAGGATTAGCAACAAGCACCTGGATTGAAAGGATTCTGCTAGGGCCATTGATGAGCAAGAGGTAGGGGATATGCGATTTTGGCTAATGGAGGAAGGAGTTCCATCAATTTGCCTTTCTCTAGTTCTGCGAAGCTTGACAGGTCTGAATCAAGATCATCCTCCACTGCATCACTTTCAAGTCACGAACCAGTGATTACATTGTTGTGGCCGTGGAGGTTAGTGGAGGACCTAAAGGCCTCATGGGTCTCCGTTCTCACAAAGGACATATAGTAGAGTAGATGGAACTCAAATATTTGGGAGAATGAGGCGAGTCTGAACAGGAAGGGTGAGGTAACGAAAAATTTGGTTTTGAATTTCTCAATCCGGTATGGCCTATTCCCTTTACACATGATTGTATGAGATTTGGGTGGCTGGTGTAAACATGTGGAATGATTCTCTTATACTATTAGAAACAATGAAATTCGAATGGGAATACTGGATGCTATGGTTTGTGCCACTGGATCATGTTGCTGGTGCTTGTATGGGAATGATTGTTTGGCCACAAGTACTGAAAAAATTGTAAATAAATTAAAAGATGATAAGAGATGGGTGCCACTAGGAGGCCATGTTAGTTCTAGTAGTGCAGTGGTTGCATGTGAGGGGATTATGTTGAAACAAAAAGTTAGAGAATGGATTGCTTTGTGGCTGGTAATTGTATGGATTAATTCTGTATGGTTATGTGATCTCATGGACATTGATGTAGTCTTCCACAGATTTTCTCTCTCTCTGAGGGAGAGCTTGAAAGCTGCAAGTGTTGAAGTAGCATTAGTGATAAAGGGGTTGGGCTCTTTTGTAGAGTAATTCACTGATGTAGTCTTCCGTAGATTTTCTCTCTCTTGCTTGAAGGGAGAGCTTGAAAGCTGCAAGTGTTGAAGTAGCAGTAGCGATAAGGGGGTTGGGCTCTTTTGTAGAGTAATTCTTAGGATTACCACCCCTTCTGGCCGCATGCTTGCTTTGTGAAACATTGGGATTTAGCTGTTACAATGTTGAGTTGCCAGGTGTCCTTAGAAGCCTCTCTGTTATTTTGATGTCTGTTCATCTTATTGTCACTATTGCTCTATTTGGTTCTGACTTTGAGGTTGCTTTGTCTGAATATGTTTTGACGCTGGTTACTGATGCATAATGGGAGTGAGATCATTATGGATTGAAAATTGCGAAATTCAATGGGTGATGATGTCTTGGCTGAAATATGTGAAAACTTGAACTGTTTTGCAAAGCCAGAAGCTGAGAGGAGTTTGGGCACTATGCTCATATACTGTGGAAGGATATGTTTGGCTCAGTTTTGCTTTGTGCTGGGATGCTCTGTAGGTCTTGAAAGATCCTCAGGAAGCTTCTTCCACTCTTGTCCAAAATGGAGTTTTGGCGTATACGGGGTTGGGCAGTCTTTGGACAACCACCTCTTCTAGTACTGAGTTACATCACATAGGGCTATTCTTTCCTCTTACTGTTATTTTTTCTCTCTTTGGTTTCATTCTTCAAGAGAGAGGTTTGCATGTTGTTAGTTGTACTTGGCTCCTAGGTTACTTTCCTTCCTATTTCACAAATTATTTCAGTCCATTTATGTAATAGTTTTGAGGTTTAAAATTTTTGCCCATCAACTTCTCCATTCCAACATATGCCACCAGAGTTCCAGGCTTAAAACATATTTATCCTCCTTTTGTTGGAATACTCCGTGAATGATTGACTTGTGTCCTTATTTGGAATAAACTTGTACCCAGATTGACTCGGTGAAGGGAGAAATTTACGTTGCTTTCAATACGAGTCATTTACCGGTGACAATTAGCTTGCCCGGGCGTCCTGGATGCAGATGGGAGCCCCTGGTAGACACCAGTAAGCCTTCACCTTATGACTTTCTCGCAGCAGACCTACCTCACAGAGACATTGCAGTGCAACAGTATGCTCAATTCCTTGATGCTAACTTTTATCCAATGTTGAGTTACTCTTCTATCATCCTCCTGCTTACTCCTGATCCCAACGCTTAATTTGGAAAATTCTGTTGCCTCCAAGGCACCTTTCCTCATTATCAGCAATATTTTTCTGTGTAATGGAACAAATTATTTTCGTGTAAAAAGAAACAGCTCTACATCTATTTAATGGGTATGTATTTCAGTTGCTTACATGAATTTAAAATGTAACTCAAAGCAAGTCTTTCATATATGAAGGACTTAGATTGACTCTAAGGTATTGGTATAGCCGATTGATGTAAATATTTTTTATATGACCAATTTGATGCAAAGATGTCTGGGAAAAGCTGAAATGGTGGTTGCCCTATAAGCGATCGATGTGACTATTTTGTTAGATGACAGACTCAACGATCGTCTGACTGTTGTGCCTTGGCTTGCCTCAATTTGGTGGGCACACACAAGTCGGCATTAAGATAGCAACTCCGCGTTTGCTTTCCTCAGTCTTGCATTTCTAAGAATATGTTGAGTTTAGGATGGAATGAAATGGGACAGCCATGGATGGTGTGGAATAAAGTGGGGTGGGGATTTCATTTTAACAATCTGAGAGTTGTTATAAAATAAATGGAATAAGATTACTTATACTTTTGTAATTTTATGGTGGGGGAGGAGAAAGTGAGAGGAGGGGTGAGAAGAATAAGTGGTAGTTGTGCAATTTATTTCAAGTCATTCCATCTTAGGAAAAAGGGCCTTTCAAATGACTAATGATGTTGTAAATGGCCATCCCAAATCATTCCTCACTTTGGAAAAATTCTCATAGAACAATAATACATGCATTTAACCCGTCTCACTCTATTCCATTTAATTCTAGAAAAGTTTCTTATTTGCTTGTGGAGCAATGATGAAATGTTAGATTTCAAATGAAATAATATTAACTGTTTAACATGTTAGTTAAAATGATAAGGAAGCATATATGAAGTTTTCAAAATGATAAAAAATGTCATGGTTATTAAGTTAACTAATGCTAATCATTTAACAAACAATACCATGTGTTGCACAGTATTTTCACTCCCCACAACCATGTCCGCTATTATAGAGTCTTTTGCATAATTTCATGGTAGCACCTTCTCAGTATTAAAGCTGCTGCTCCGCCAATTGCCTCATCCGCTATCATTTTCTTTGGTTTCTTCTTTGTCTGTACTTTTGCCTCCAAGCTAACTAGTTATAGATTAGGAACACCGTGATTACAAATTAACCATGTGTTGGAGACGGAGAGGAGATTAAGGAGGTGGAGGTGAAAACATCGAAGAAACTTTTGCAATATTTTCTTGATTAATATGTTTGTTAAACAATAAATAACAGCCAATGAATATATTTGTATTTCAACCCTAAAATAAATCAAATGCAGCGACGCTCCTAACAAATAACTAGGAATTAGTGTCCGACTCTTAACGTCAGGAAATGCATCGTCTTCGAACATGTGCTTCTACTGCGCAATTTTTAGAATAATTTTAAACTGCTTATATTTGAAAATCAAATAGCAGGAAAATTCATGATACATTCAAAACTTGTACTAGTCAATTTTGTGTTTAAATGGACAAACTCGGGTTGTGGCGCACCCCCCCATATGTAAGACAACAACAAAAAAATCCAAATTCTATAGAAATGGGAGGTATACCACCAAGGAAGCCACCTAATAAATAAAATGGAAAAACATGATGGTTTCCCAATGTTCTTGTGAGGCCTTTTCGTGAAGTATCATCCTCTGAACACGTCCTTCAAATAAATATCATTCCTTCTCTATCCATAGGACACCAATTGTGATAAAGTTAAGTCAAAGTGCAGCACCAAACTACGCTCCAACACGTCTATATATATACAGCTAGTCTCCGGAAACATATTTTTTCTCTTCGTAGTATTTCTTCTCACTCGTAGCCTTCTTAGCATTGCGTTTCTGCAGCACAAGCAAAAGTGGAAGCAAAAATATATGATGTTCGCTTTCCTTCTTTTTTTCCTTTTTTAAAAGGGTGGGGTTTAGGATCATGCGTCAAGAATATCATTGATGTGAAACCCGAGGGTTGCTCCAATATCAAGAAAGCAAATAAAATTAAGACTACCTTGTAAGCTTCGTGATTAGCCATTATCCTTCGGGCCACTGAAGTAGTGGTTACTTCCTTTGGGCTATCAAGCAACCGGAATATTCCCTTCATCATTGGTACCTTGTATGGATCAATATCACACTGCAAGGCAATATTTTTTTCCTGGCATGTTAAATGGAAATCGGTATTTTATCACATGTGAGCTTACAGATGATGAATGAGCTTACATTTTGTGACTTCTCTGCGACTGTGCCATGAACAACTAGGGAGATATTGAAAGTTGTAATCTGTTTCGAAACAAATGTACACCTCGTCATATTGAAATATGTAAATGATACACAAAGAAAATAGAAATTATCCTTGATGATGAGATCAGATGGGATAGACAAGCCTGGAAAAAACATGAAACAGTTGCTAGCCGAAACATCAAAGCAAACAAGAGACAGGCTAATAGCTTTGACGGTGACACAACACAACAGGGAACATCACAGATCCAACTTCCAACTCATTAATAACAATCTGATGGTGAGAAACAAGAGGAAGGATCTGTTCGTTTACTCACTAAGGTTTGACCGATCATCACAAATAACTTATCAAGATGAAACCTTTCCTCCTTCTCTCTCTAGGTTGTATGCTCGTATTTATCCATAAAATCATCATACAGCAGTCATATTGAAATTAATTAACAATTTAAAATGTACAAAAAGTCGGTTTCTGTACACATACACTAGGAATAATTCCAACTAAGATATTTCCATAATGATACAATGATAGCTGCTTTAATGTGATTCAAAAAATGTGACAACAGGAACTTACCATATCATTTGTAATTTCCCAAGGCGCACCGATAATGACCTCATCTACATAACGACAAGCCAGCACACTGAGACTACGTTCATGCAATTGCATAATTGGATAGTGGCTCCCCCGATGTTCACTACAGGAAAGTTTTATCTACTCTTCAAGATAATACCAAAATAAACTCCATAAAGTCAAGTTTTGCATGATAACAAACTGCATACCTCACTGTCTCGTCAGTGTGGACACCAACCAGAAGAAAATCTCCAAGCTCCCGAGCCCTCTTAAGAATCTGAAAGCAAATGAAATAATGATTAAAGAATCATACACTATAATAGAAATTAGATCACATTTTACCTTCAAAATATATTTTCATACTATGATAAAATTTAATTTTTGACTGTAATAATACTAAATTAAACCCATGTATAAATCTGTTTACCTCAACATGTCCTGCATGGAAGAGATCAAATGCCCCATCAATGTAAACAATACGAGCATTTGGTCCAGGGCCCTATAATAAGGAAGGAGTCAATAATTATTTTTTCAATGGGGAAAAACCCTCAAAACTAGAATGTAAGAAGACAGAGCTCTTGCAAGTTTCAAAAGTCACACCACTGTTCTAGACATAGAGATTTACTAACCAAAAGGTCCAAAACATATAATATGTGCGTGCGTGTGTGTGTGTGTGTGTGTATCCATCCACATAAAAACTATATCGTAAAATTCCATATATATTTCAATCAATTGAAATATCTCTAAATGTATTAATAGACACAAATAAATATTCATTGAAGCTTCATTCTGCACTGAATTCTAATGTGATCTGCATTAGCTGTTTTCCTAATATAATCTAGCTGAAAGTGTCATTTGAGAATCAAGAAAGAATCTGCCACTGCTAGAAATTAAAATTTTGCCCAATTCTCCAAAACTTGAAGTTAAATAAGACAGTAGAAAGGCCCTAAATGGGAGAAAGAGACATCTTATAATTTTGGCCAATCCATTCAAGATTAGACACTTCACAACTCATCATGCCCACTCTTGAATGGCAAGGACAGTACTATGATGCAAAGACCTACCCACGAAAAGACAGTAAAAAAATGTAAAGACCGTCAAGCCCAAAATGTAAACAAGTGACATTTATTGGATTAGATCAACCAACATAGAATACATGACGTCAGAAGAGGAACAATAAAAAATATAGCAAGAGACTAAAATCCACCAATTTGATTAGTAGAATTACAGAACAACACAGTTAGGCCACACCAGCAAAATATACCTTGCCATTTGAAAACTGGACAATGCGTCGGGAAGTTGGTAAGAAATGCGCCAAATGGGCACCCTTCAACTGGCTTTCTTCCTCAAGCCTTGCATCATTGTCATCATGATCTTTACAAACTTTCGTATCTCCCAGAGAAGAAAGTATTCTGCCTGCAATGAAACAATATTAGCAGTAATATGTATGATAAGCACAAAAATGATGTGCTGAAATTAACTGGGTACAAGAGAATCACATCAATTAAGATGCTCTACGAATTTGAGAGAACCTTAGATAATCTTTTGAGCTTAAATAACTTAATTGTCACACTTGCAGGTGTGCACAGAAACAAATGTACAGAGTTTTTTTCCTTCTTTTTCTCCTCTTGCCAATGAATAGTTGCTTCAACAAGAACTTGCAAAAGAAGTTCACCCAAAAAAAAAAAACAACTTGCAACGAAAAAGGTCTTAACTTATTCATCAGGAACCCAATAAAAATAATCATGATTTGCAGAACTTCTGACATTTTACAGATATAGATAGACAAACTCAGTACCTACGATATCTGTGCTGGAAACTCCTTCAGTACGTTTAATTTGCTTATAGCGCCCAGCTTTCTTTGCCAAGGCATAAGCGTCAGTCCCATCTGGAAGCAGGCAAGGATCATCACCGTGTATGATATAGTCTACTTTGTATTCATGAAAGAGACGATTCAAGAATTGCTCAGTAATAGCATAGGGAGCATCAGTAATGACTTCATCCACCCATTTCAATCCACTCACAAGGGCCAGCCTGGAAGGTTAAATACATTTTCAAATCGGAAGGGCACTTCCACATTGCAGATTTAAAATTCCCTAATATATCCTGTACATTTAATAACGCTACAATATCAATATTCAGGGACTGATCATATAACGTTCCTCTAAACTTCAATTGTCTTTTACAATCTTGATTAGCATTAATGTCTTTGACGCAATTCAAGTTTCTTTCGTTGTCATTGGCTATATAATGGAATTAAAGTAGAAATGACTAGAGCAAATTGGCGGATTCAAAATGCCAAAGAACTCACAAGTTACAACAACAAAATCTCAGCCCCAGTCGTACATAATATATGGGCGGCTAGCAACTACGAGTGAAACAATTACCAACATAAGTTTGTACATTTCAGAGGTAAACTTGAGACCCCAAAAGGAAAGCAATTCGGGTAGGTTGTAAATCACGAATTTGCCCCAAAAAAAGAAACAACCAAGGAAAGAAAAATAGAAGATCATGTAAATATCGATTCTTAAAAATTAAACTCATTAGTGATTTTGCCTAAGGGTAGGGGAAAGAACATGGGGGTAGTAGATGAAAAAGGATCACCTAACATGGTACAAAAAGCCTGACTATGCATAAACGTTAATGAAACTAAAAAAGTGTACCTCTCCTCCATCGACAAAACAGGCGGACCTTTATTAGCCAAAATCTCCTCGTCATTAACAAGACCCACAACTAACTCATCCCCAAGCGCTTTTGCTTGTCTGAGAGCATTAGCATGCCCATAATGCATCAGATCAAAACAACCATCCATATAAACCCGAACGCGCTTCTTCCCAATTCTCTTTTTGCGGAAAACTCCCAAACCAGACCAGGAGTATGGCAGAGAAGGAACCCCAATCCCTCCAAAATAACTAGATGACAGTCCCAGCAAGGCAGCTGTGAGCATTAGACCACCAAAGAGGTGTGGGCTGTAGGATACCCCGTCCCAAATCCAACCGTTACCTTCATAATCCATGATTGTCTCTATCTCTGTCGCCAATTCACCGCACCTCGGAAACTAGAATCTATTTGTGGGAGGAGACACAGATGACGGACCTGCGAAAAAGCTACCATGATTACATATTTCTAATCTTATTCAGAACAAACAAAGGATAAGCATAACGAGAGAATTCTAATTGATTTGAGAATATCAGCCAGCAGGGAGAAGATTGACGAATCAGGCACCGATGGAAATCCTTCCCAACACACGAGAGGCACAATTGCAAGTAAAATGTCGATGGAGGCCACATAAATATCGAATAACAAAGAAAGAGACTTCAGATCAAGGAATTCTGAATCTAACTCGTACACTTTCCCCTTTGTCAGAAATCTCCAAAGACAAATCTTCCTGATGCAGCGCCAGTGAATTTGGCAGCACAAATAAGAATACAGAAAGGAAATCCACCTCAAATCTTCAATAAAAATTGAAAGATGTTTCGAGGAAGCGAAAAGGAAAATGAGCAAATTTCTGGAAGACAAGCAATTTGAAGAGAAGCTACGGAGAAAAAAAAATAAAAAGATGAAAAATCGGGCAGGAATCAAGAATGACAGAGGTTTCATGCTTTAAGCATTTAGCCATGCGCCCTGAAAAGGATGGGTTGGGCGTGGGATCGAATCTTTACCTCTTCCTTCTCCGTTTGTCTGTGCTCCTCTTTCTCCGTTGGATTCCAATGGAAGAAACGTCTTCTCATGTTTTGCAAGGAAAAGCTGTCTTAAATAGATGCTACTTTGTTGGACAAAAAAATATATATGCTACTTTTTTCCCCAATTGATATTTTTTTATTGAAAAGCAAATAGCGTAAATGTCACCGCAAAATATCTGTTTCTGATTTTATATTATTATTGCATCGTATCGTATGAACTGACTCAATGCTGCCGACTTGATGTGACTTGCTCAGCTTTTGGGGGAATGGGTTATGACTTATGCCTCGGTGTGAAACAGTATCTCCTTGCGTACGCCAGGAGACCCAGGGAACGGGTTTCACTTTCACAAGATGTCACTTTTCTTCCTTTGATAATTTCAATCATTTTCTGGAAGATCTCTCTCTATTGACATTCTTGACTGTAATTTCAGGCCTATTTTTTATGACTCCCGTCTAATTGTCCTCAGGTCTTATCAATAAAAAACCAATCCAGGAAGTAATTGCACCATGTAGTAAAGCCATACTGAACACCAAAATATAATGCTGCACTAAAAGGACAGTCCCCATAAGTCAGATGAACATTTCAGAACAGTATAAAGTGAACTAAATTGAATAAGATGGACATGTCATGTGAGACTAAGTTAACATACAAAAGGAGGTTAAACAGCATTTTTATCTGGAAAATTTTCAAAAAGGTGCTGCAAGTATAAAAAATTTTTTGGGTGCCACTTTACTCCGAAAATATTAAAAACATAGTAATTTTATCCTGTCTTAATAGACCTAAACGGTTGGCACTAGTTGACCGAGTTTGAAAAAGCATTTTTGTTCTGAAAATTTTCAAAAAGGTGTTATGGGTATCTGAAATTTTTTTTTAGTACAATTTTACCCTAAAAGTAATAAAAAGGTAACAATTTTACCTTATTCTAAATTGTCACTTGACTCTTATATAATATATCAATTTATAGGCTACCTAAATTAATTTGAGAGAAAATGATAAATATGAGAAATAAAGTGGACTAAAATCTTATATTTAGAACAAAATTTAACTTTCAACTAACTCTTATATTAAGAGTAAAGAGTATTCATCTATATTTTTAATTAATATTTTATCATAGATATAAAGCTTTTTAATTTTATTTTTTTATATAAAAAGCATACGTTTATTTTACATGTTACATAAAACTTTCAAATCACAATTCAAGTAAATAATTTATTAAAAAAACACTGCTTATAAAATTTTTTATATTTTATATTGATATATTATCTTATCTTAAGCGCCACATCATCATCTCACTAAAAAAACAAAAGAAACATCTTTTCCCTTTTATCATCATCGTCGGTGTTCGTGCAAACATGAACTGGTACAGAGAATATATCAACATAAAATATAAAAAAATTTATATGAAGTACTTTTTTGATAAGTTATTATTTACTTGAGTGGTCATTTCAAAAGTTCAATACCATATGTAAAATAAACGCATGTCTAATTTATATATATAATAAATAAAATTGAAAAATGTTATGTTTATGATAAAATACATATATGTATACTTCTAATCTTTAATATAAGAGCTAATTAAGAATTATATTTAGCTTTAAATATGAGATTTTAGTCTACTTTGCTTCTTATGTTTATTATTTTCTCTCAAACTAATTTTAGTAACCTATAAATTAATATATTATATGAGAGTCAAGTGACAATTCAAAATAAGGTGAAGTTGCTACATTTTTTACTACTTTCAGGATAAAATTACACTAGAAAAAAAATTCCGAATACTAACAATTCCTTTTTGAAAACTTCTAAGGCAAATATAATTTTTTAACTAAGTCAATTTGGTTTTACTGGGGTAAGGCAAAATTGCTATGTTTTTAGTACTTTTAGGGAAAATTAAAATTACACTAAAAAAAAAATTCGGATATCCACAGCTCCTTTTTGAAAACTTCCAAGGCAAAAATGCTGTTTAATCCTATCTTAAATCAATAATTTTAGATCTAATTATCTCTTGATTGCGTATTAAGTAAACATTAATCCAAAAGACTGCTTTCCCACCAACTTTATATGGACATAAGTCAGAGATTACACAAAGTCTGTACTGCATCAACTAAATTATAATCTGAACCTTTCACTCAACCTTAAACAAATAGACAGAACTTTAAGAAACATAATATGGCAAAGTTCCATCACTACACTTTCGCCACTCAATTTTGAACAATCATATGACAACACTATACAATGAGTAGGTAATAACACAATGCATCTCATCTCAATTATTTTATAATGAATTCGGTGGTGGATATGCTATTATACATTGATGAATGATCAGTGACGGTAAATAATTGCTTCATTTAATTGATTTTTATAACTAAATATTTAAATTAAATGTTTGATTTATACTTTTTTAAAAATATAATTAGTTCAAGTACAATTAAAAAATTATAAGATACCAGTCAAACATAGATATCCTGATTGCCCCTCAAACATAAATTTCTGAAACATTATGCATGGTAAAAAAATATTCTGAAACATTATAAATTCCACTCCTATGCTGAACTCAATAATACTAGTTCCAATCCTTAATATAAAAACTAGTTAACTCATTTGAATAAATTAAAAAAACTAGTTAAATTAGTTATTTGTAATACATAAGTGTTGTTTTTCCTAAAATACTCTTGCTAATCAAGTGTATTGGTTAAAATTATTATTATTTCAAAGACTATTTTAGAAAAAATGAATAAATATGAGAAATAAAGTAGATTGAGGTTTTATATTTAGAATCAAAATAAAAATCAAACAAGCTCTTATATCAAAAACTGAGGTACTAACTTTTAACAAACATACCGAACCATTGTCAGACCGCTCTCTCTTAACCAAGTCTAACAAACAGATCATCCTATTCTTTCAAACTTTGCACTGCTTGATAAAGTAATTACATATATAAATTGATTGGGTTGTTGCATGTATCTTATCCCTCTTGACTAATACAGTCCCAACAGTTCAAAACTCCAATACTACCTCCTGTGTGTGCTTCATTGCTTTAGATTTGTTATCTAGTGTGCTGTGTGCAAGAGTTTTTATACATTTTTTTTATTCAGTTGGCTACTCATCTTTTTTTATCTCTTCACTTGCGCAATGGAGAAACATGTTTGGTTAAGAACTATCAAGTCAAATAGGGCTACATATTATTGCACACCAAATTCAATCACATTGACATCAAACAAAAAGTAATATATTATTAAGCATCCCATCACTTAAAATAGTTTGCACAATGATAATATTCTGCTGGCATGCAATAAACAAATAATACATCTGCCCACAGAAATAATTAATGACGAATTGACGAGCTTTAATCTAATCAAAACACAATCAGGACATGATGAATGTTAGGAGATAATTGCTCAATCAAACATCCAATATCTTTTCAAATCTGATCATACCTAACATAATACATAATTGGTATTTAACTATTTCATCAATCCACCAAAAACCATGCCCCTCCTAATCATGAAAGCTAGGCAGTTAAACTATTCTACTTAAGCTAAGAAACAGTTTCAATTCCTTGAAGGATCCCTCAGCATCTCTCTCCTCAAATAATGGACTTCACAAAATGCTGGGTTCCAATATGCCCTTGTAGCATTCTTATAGTCTGTCAAAGATGGGTCTCCTGGAAACAACAAATAATAATACATAATCAATCATATATACTGTGAAGAAATTCACAACATGTTAGTCCCCTGAACAATTGAGCATGTTAGTGAAGTGGACTTAAAGAACCAAAGAAGTAAAAAGAAATTAAAGTAACGCACTTACATGTTGCTAAAGCAAGAAATTAAACTACATTAAATTTTATAGAAGATGAAACTTAAAGAACGCCCCCCCGGGGGGGTGAGGAAGGAAGCACCTTACTTACATCCTCATCAAAAACTATAATGTCCAGCGAAAGCAACTTCTTTGGTTAGCCATAGTCACTCTCACAATAATCACTCTCCGCATCTCGACCGAAGGATAAATAGCATACTCATATTCTACGACCGTTGTTCAGAACCAAGAGATGGAATGGAAGAATCCAATCAGAAAAGGGAGAAACAATTTTATGAAAGGTACGAGAACAAGAAATGAGAACAGTAAACACATGGAAGACAATGATTGGAACAAAAGAAATCACAAAGAACGATATAAATTCATAATTATTCAATTTCTTCCACCTAACACAAAGAAAGAAATCACCAAACTGCAATAAATTTTCATCTATGAACAACACAAAGGACGATTATAACACACGGGACGAATGGTATAAAAGAATGGAACATGCGTACCTCAACTGAAACTCCCCCCTTCTTCAAATTCAATGAGCGCAGTAACCGGAGCAAATCATCAGTCTCGCCGCTCATAAAGCAAGCCTTACAAGGTAACTGACCTATATGGCGACCATTAACTACTATGCACAAGCGTGATTTTAAATAAATGGGAGAGAACAGATTGCTACAAGCAGCCAGATAGAATTGGTCGCTACTGTTTATTAGCACAGTGATATGAGTCAGAAGCCCTTAGGCTTATAATTGATTTTTATTTATAATTTATGCTTATATAGAAACTAATATTTTAAATGGTTAGATTATAGGACAAAATTGTGTGGAGTCAAAATTCAAGGACTTCAAACCATAAGAATTTAATTGCATCTGGTTAAAACTTAAGGATTGAGTAAGAGTTTAGTTAAAATTATAAGCACAAAATTTGTCATCATTAGCGTCAAGATGGTCTTGTGCTGAGCCAGTCATTCGGGTTTGGTGTCCTGCTCAGTCCTTTTGTGAGATGTTTGATGATTAACACAGACGGCGTTTTTCCTTTACGATTTACACCAGAGGGGTTATTCGACGTGGAACCTCTCCCATTCATTCCCACCCTCCTTCATCCTCTTCTCTAATCATCGCCCTTCATTTCATCTACGGCTTAAAACGATCTCACTTATCCCAGCGATAGTTTTTTGCGAAAGAGTCCATGTTTCATCCCTTCTTGTTTTGGAAAGGAGTCTATGTTTCATCCCTTATCATCAAAAGCACCGGACTGATGCA